CCACGCGTGCCTGTGTCCCGGGGGTGGCAGCGCCTCTGCCGGCTTCCACTTCTCACCACTTCTCTCTGGGCTTGGCTTTATCAGCTGTCAGCCCCGAGGACACCTCGCAGGTGCAAGACCTGGGAAGGGCTCAGGGCCTGGCGGCTTCTGCCTCCTTGTCCTCCCCCTGTCCGGGGAAGCCAGCGGGGCGACAGCCACGCCTTCCTCCTCGGCGATTGTCTCCCGGCCAGGACCCCCAGGAGAAGCACAGGTTTCCCTGCACCTGCTCGTTCTTGCCCGGGTGGGCGCACACACCCACACTCACTTGTACACACATGCACTCAAGCACACGCACATGCACGTATGCACACGTGCACACGTGCCTGCACCTGCTTCCCTCTGACCACAAACTCCCGAGCACGGCATCTACGGCACTGTCGCCCCCCCCCCCCCCCGAGCCTGATGGTGTGACTTACCTCCATCAGCACTCAGGGACACACTGCCGAGTGTAGGAGCACGAACCAAACAAGAGGGTGTTGCCGCTCCCCCCAGGGGTAGCACGTGCTCTGGTTGGGGGTGAGGAAGGGGACCCTTGAGCCAGGACTTTGGGATTGAGATGGGAGGGGGGCAGGCCGTGCAGGGTCCGGGAGGGGTGTGGCTCCCCTTAGGACATGGTGGGAAGACAGGCACCAGCCCGTCAGTTACCAGTAAGGAGGCTGTGCCCTCACTGAGAGTGCCGGCCGGGGCTCAGCCCAGCTCCTGAGCCCTGGGGCTCCTGGGAGCCAGCAGCGTCTGTGAGTTCAGTGGTGGTTTCTCCAGGGTCTCCAACGCCCTGCTCGGGAAGTGAGCACGCACCGCACCTGCGGGGGGAACGCGGATGGACGGTGTCTGTGGACGGACAGCTGCCGCGGAGGCGGGCCCAGTGCCTGGGGCTGGGGGCAGGCGGCGGAAGGGGAGGGTGCGGGTGCCCTGCTTCGGGCAGACAGGACGCCGTGTGACCGCAGTGGGCTCAGCAGCGGCGCCTGTTGGGGGCTGAGTGAGCAGGTTGGGTACAGAGTGGGGATTCTGCAGGCCTCCGCGGCCTGGTTTTTGGCACTGCATGAACACATGCCAGGGCACTTCAGCAAGTTGGGGAAGAGTGTGATTGAAATAAAAGTGTAGGGGATTAAGCCACCATCTGCAGCACTGGCATCCCATCTGGGTGCTGGTTGGAGTCCTGGCTGCTCCACTTCTGACCCGGCTCCCTGCTAATGCACCTGGGAAAGCCTCGGAGGACGGCCCATGTGCCTGGGCCCCTGTGCCCACGTGGGAGACCCGGATGAAGCTCCTGGCTCCTGGCTTGAACTTGGCCTAGCCGTGGTCATCGCAGCCATTTGGGGAGTGAACCGGCAGATGAAGATCTCTCTCTCTCTCTCTCTCTCTCTCTCTCCTTCTCTCACTGTAACTCTTTCAAATAAAATAAGTAAATCTTTTTTTAAAAAAATTAAGTTTATTTTGGTGCAAAAAACATTGAAATCCATGCATAGTGTTCTATTTTCCATGAGCTTTTTGAAAACCCCTTTTGCATGGATTTTAAAAATGTTGGCACCCAGGTAGCTTAACCTGTTTAGTCCTGCTTTCCTGTGACTTTTGGGAGTCGTCTCGTACTTGTGCTGTAACTGGCTCGCGTCACGGTCTCCACACGAGTCTCTGCTGTCGTGTGTCTTCTACGGCCCCTCAGAGTTTTATCTGGAGGACAGCTAAGGCTTGTTGTCAAAGGCGAAACCAAAAGCAGACGCCTTCGCATCTCGCACTCGGCTGTCGTCTTGAGGTCGGGCCCAAAGCATTCTCTGCTGAATGGCTGCAGCGGCCCGTGGGTGGCAGGGGGAGGCACGTCTGGTTGCATTCGAGACACTCCGGCTTCATTCCCGTCGCTGGCCCTGACCCTGGGGCCTGGGTGCGTCTTGATAGGCCCAGGAAGCAGAGGCAGCCCTGCCCTGGGAGGGCCACGCGTGGCAGCCGCCCTCCCAGCCTGCCCCTGGTGGCTGCTGTGCCCACCCAAGAATCCCCGTGGAGCCCCCTGTCCCATGCAGGACTCCCAGCCAGAAAAATCCCGGGTCCAGAAGTGCCCCGGACGTCATGTGGTCCACAGCTCTGGTGTGACAGAGGGTGGCCAGCGGTAGCAAGGTGGCTGCTGGTGCCGTTGGGAACCGTGGGGAGCTCAGGATGACCCTGGGTTTGGACTACAGATGTCAGATTGCCCTCGTGTTAAGCAGAGCTGCGCCCAGCGATGGAGTGAGGGGCGGTGACACCCAGGAGGAGAGGGCAGCACACCCAGCACCCAGATCTCGGTGCTCAACACCAGTGTCCACGGAAGGGACTCGGCCGCCCCGGCGCTTTGGCTTGGCAGGCACAAGACACGGCCCCACCCTGCGTTGCCAGCAAGTCGGGAAGTACCCCCAAACCGATGGGAGGGGTCGGACACAGGAGCCCCCAGATGGAGGGACGCCCCCCCCACAAGCTGGGGATGACTTGCGCATAGAAGGAATGAGGAGGAGGAGGAATTGGAATACCTTGACGTGGGGGCTGGCACTGCGGACCAGCAGGCTGAGCTGCTGCCTGTGACGCCAGCATCCCATAGGCACACTGGTTTACGCCCAGCTGCCACTTCTGATCCAACTCCCTGCTAATGCGCCTGGGAAAGCAGTGGGAAATGGCCCACCAGTAGACAGCCTGCTGTCTGGCGCCCCCTGGTGGGCCTCAGCGGGAAGGACTCAACATTGTCTCGGGTTGAATCTGACATGGAGCTTTGAAAACTCAATACTCATCTCAGAGTGCCAAGGATGAAAAGCCACGGACGGGGACTCTTCTACGTCAGACAGAAGTTCTTAGGAAGGGAACCTGGTGGCCGTGGTGTGGGTTAAGATGTCCGTGTCCCGTATTGGATGGAGTCCCTGGCTCTAAGTCCCAGCACCGGCTCCTGCCTCCAGCTTCCTGCTAATTCAGCCCCTGGGAGGCAGCCATGATGGCCCTGGTGACCAGGTTTCTAGACCCAAGTATGAGACCCTAGTGAGTCCCAGCTCCCGGCTCCAGCCTGGCCCAGCCCAGCCCGGGCCGCTGAGGGCGTTTAGGGAGTGAACCGGAGTTGGGACCTCTCTCTGCGTGTCTGTCTCTCTGTGCGTCTTTGGCTCTCAAATGCATTTTAAAAAGAAGAGACGTAAAGGGACACAGCAGCTGCCTGCAGTGTGTTGTCCTCAGATCCTGGGCCAGGACACCACATTTCTGTAAAAGACATTTTGGGGATAGTTAACATGGGAATCCTAGCACGGACCGTGGACAGCGCTAACTGTGTGTTCTCACGGAGAGACTATCTTCATTCCTGAGGGATCCGTGCAGAGGTGCGGGGGCTGCAGTGAGGTGACCCAGTGTCTACCCGCAAGCGATTGGCGTGCGTGTTCGCATGTGGCAGGGAGGAGACGTGGCCGTGTCGGAACACGTCGGGGAGCAAGGTGTGTGGGTACGCCTGGTTCAGCTTTCCTGCAGCTTTGGACATTTTTCAAGTATGCACACGCACACGCATGCACACGCACACGCGCGCACACGCACACACACACACGGGAAGGCAGGAACAATGAAACAGGCCCAGTGCAATTGACTTGTCTGAAAAAAATCAGCTAAGACCCCATGCTCTTAACTCTAAGTGCCTGTACCTCTTCGTCCAGATAAACGGGAAGACAGACCGGCAGACGGACAGACAGACAAGTCCCTCATCCCCTTGGTTCAAAGGCTGTGGCTTTGAGAAGGGATGGACACAGGCCTGTCCGTGGCCAGGCCTCTGGGGAGAAGGCGATAGAGACGAGGTGCACTGCGCCATCTAGTGGCCAGATGAGGCTGCCCTGGCCACTGGCCGCTGGCGTCTGCCCACTTGGACAGCCAGCTTGTCCCACGTTGTTGGTGCCTTTCCCACCGTCTCTGCCCAGTGGTTATTTTCCCATTTGCAAAGCAGTAACTTGTGTTTATCTTTCTGCTTCTCTAATTTTCCAATACGGATTTCCAGTTGCTTTGGACCAAGAAGCCAAAATGCAGAGTTCCGCTCCCAGAAACCTGAGCCCCGAGTCCTTCCATAGCCAAGGGAGAGGGGAGTCCTGCTCGTGTGTGTAACCAGATCCCTGCCGCCGCCGTGCACCGGCAGCCGCTGACCTTGCTCTCGCTCGGGTGGAAATAAGCTACGGCTGCTTGCCCTGGGCTTGCAGCAGCCAGGGTCAGCACCGTCACCGGCCGGGGCCAGGAAGTGGCAGCGGGTGCCCTAGGTGGGGACTCAGCTTTCTCTGCTCGGTCCTAGGTTGGAAGTAGGGACAGAAGGGAGGGGAGCTGCCAGTCACTCACCACGTCCTGGCCACTTGGGGCCGGTGGTTCTGGAAGTCATGTTTTGTCTTCCTGGACTCTGGGCCTCGTGCAAGCCCGGCCTATAGCAGGCCGTTTTCCTGAGCTGCTTATAGGGGCTTGGGGTCCCAGGGCGGATGCTCTGGGTTGTGTTTTCCCACCTGTATGTCCTTTTCTGGCTTCAGCCTGCCCACAAGGCACACAATGGGACCTGGCACGGCACAGGCGGCTTCAGGCTGCAGCCGCTCTAACCCCAGAGGAGAAAGCCCTGACGCAGGCCGGAGACCATGCTCGGGTCCACAGCTGCTTCTGCAGCCCGGGGGAGACCCCTCCAAGCCTCGGTGGCTTCCTCCATACAGAGCAAGGTTGATTCCTGGGGCACTTCCTCTCTTGCCAGGATCGGCCTGGGCAGGTGAGCTGAGCTCACTAGCTCCCCCTGCTGGCTGGAGGGTGAGTTGTTGCTGGCTTACCGGCAGGGTGCAAGTGCATGTCCACGTAGGTACCTCATCTGTGGCAGGTGCTGGGGGCCTGCACTCCCAGACTCCAGCAGGGGCAGGCACAGGCACACAGCCTCGTGCTGGGATAAACCATTGCTCTATTCTCAGCCCCGCTGGCCCCGGCTCACCGTCCTCTGTGCTTCTCCCCGTCCGTAACACCAGGCGCTTCGCGTGAAGTGGTCCCGCCTGCGGTTGCCCTGGGTGGATCTGGACTGGCTCATAGACATCTCCTGCCAGATCACGGAGCTAGACCTTTCCGCCAACTGCCTGGCTTCCCTGCCGTCCGTCATCCCCTGGGGCCTCATCCACCTTCGGAAGCTGAACCTCTCGGACAACCACCTGGCCGAGCTGCCCAGCGTGCAGTCATCGGACGAGATCATCTGTTCCAGGTGGGCCCCGGCCGTCGGTGCGGCGATCGCTGCCGCTGGCGGCCTGGCTATGCTCTGGGCTTTGGAGAATAGCATTCTGGCTCAAACGGGGGATTTTACCAGCTCCCGGGCACAAAGTCCCAGTCCTGTGCTCAGGTGGGCAGCGTTCTGGAGAGATGGTCTGGCCCAGCATTGCACGGTCACCACCGCCATGCTGAGCTCCCGGCTGGACATGCCCGGCGTGGTCCTGCACAGGGACCAAACGCCGCCCTGGCCAGGGCAGGCAGTGCAGCCCTGGGCCCGTTTCCTCCACCGCCCAGGGCAGGTGCCAGGGGCCTCTGAGAACACGTGAATCCACAGGACTGGCAGCAGGGGACGAGGCGGGCAGCCCCGCCTGCTTCCTCGTGGCACCTTGCCAAGCAGCCTGGGCACGCCCCTCCCTGTCTCCCAGGCTGGCAGGGCAGGGGGAGGCCCTTCCTTGACTGGTCTCTTTAGGATTCCTCTCTGCAAGGCCTCGCTGTGTGCAGCTCTGTGCCGATTTCCAGAAGCAGGGCTGGAACGTGCCCGAGGTCGCCTCGAGCGAGGATGGCCAGGCAGAGGCATGCAGGAGCAGGGGCCGAGCCGGGGCCGAGCTGGGCAGGCCGTTGGGTCCACGGGGCCCTGAGAGGTCTGGGGCCCTGCCCTGTGGTCTCCCCGCAGCTCTCAGGGCCCTGGCTCAGTTTGCCACCAGGTGTTGGTCGGCCGGTGGGGCCAGGGTCTTTGGGTCCCTGTCAGTCAGAGCTTTGGTTTTCTTTGTGGACGCAGAGTGTAGTCGGAATAAAAGCCACACGCACTCCATTTTCGATGCGCGCTCCTTGCGCTGGCGCGGGGAGACAGGGAGAACATGCAGCCCGTTCCCGAGTGAGAAAGCTGTGCGAGGGGCATTTCCTGATGCCTCTGCTTCCTCTCCCCCCACCCCCCCCCCAGGCTGCTGGACATCGACGTCTCCAGCAACAAACTCTGCCACCTCCCGCCAGGACTCCTGCACCTCTCCAAGCTGCAGAAACTCACGGCGTCAAAGAATTACCTAGAGAAGTTGTTCGAAGAAGAAAACGGTATGTGGGCCCCGCTGTGCCCTGCTGCCCACCCGCCGTCGGCGGGCGTCCTCAACGTCGGCGGCTCCCTCCCAAGTCACCCTCTCCCTTCCCGCAGCCACGAACTGGATCGGGCTCCGGAAGCTGCAGGAGCTCGACCTCTCGGACAACAAGCTGAGGGAGCTGCCCGCGCCCTTCATGCATTCCTTCAAGTCGCTCAGTTCTCTGAATGTCTCCAGAAACAGTCTCAAGGTCTTCCCCGAGCCCTGGGCCTGCCCTCTGGTGAGCGTCACCCCCACCCCGACCCCCAGCGTTCCAAAACCCACGCGCGCCACCCTGCGGCCATGCCGGGTGACAGGAGCGGTGAGCGGGGTCTCGGGCAGCTCGCTCCCCTGAAAGTCAGCCTTCCTTCCCCACTGCCGGTTCGACGGCCGCAGGTGGCAGCTCACACCCCAGCACAGGATTCTGCCCGGAAGCGGGAGGAGCGGTTTCTGTACCACACTTGAATAGGACGCAGGGGCCGGCGCCGTGGCACAGTGGGCAAAGCTGCCACCTGCGACGCCGGCATCCCATGTGGGCCCCGGTCCACGTCCCGGCTGCTCCACCTCTGATCCAGCTCCCTGCTAATGGCCTGGAAAGGCCGTGGAAGATGGCCCGAGCGTTTGGGTCCCTGCCACCCACATGGGAGACCCAGATAAAAAGCTCCTGGCCCCTGGCTTCACCCTGGCCCAGTTCTGGCCGTTGCGGCCATCTAGGGAGTGAACCAGCAGATGGAAGGTTCTCTGTCTCTCTTTCCCTCTCTCTCTCCGTATGTCCCTCTCTGTGTGGAACTCTTTCAAAACAAATATTTTTTGTTTAACTAAGAAGAATACGACCTGCTTTGCAGGGGCGGGCGTGACACAGCAGGTGCTCTGCTTCGAATGCTGGCAGTCCAGCGCCGGCTCGAGCTCCCGCGGCCCCACCCCCGACTCAGCTCCCGGCTGATGTGCCTGGGAGCAGCAGGTGATGGCCCCAGTGCGGGGCCCCTGCACCCACGTGGGGGACCCGCATGGAGTTCCTGCCTCCTGGGTTCGGCCTGGCTCAGCCCAAGGTGTTATGGACATTTGGGGAGTGAACCAACAAAAGATGGCTCTCTCCCCCTCCCCCTCTCCCTCCCCTTCCCCTTCCTCTCCCTCTCTCTTTCTCTCTCTCCCTGTCTCTAGTTCTCTCTCCCTCCCACCCTCTGCCTTTCGAGTAGCTGAAAATAAACAAATATTTTTGGAGAACGTAAGGACCGCGCCACACTCACACAGTGCTGTTCCCTGGGAGCCGTGCCGGGTAAAGCGGTGGCGTGGCCGTGGGTTTCCGCGGGTCAGCCCATGGGTTTCCGGCCGGCCAGCTCCCTAGCGTTTTCCTTAGCCCTTCCAGTTTGCCCCGGGGGGGGCGAGGGGAAGCAGCTTTCATCCCGAATTGTCCCCGTCTGTCCCAGGGCAGGGACCAGAGTTCTGGAATGGAGGGAAGACCTTGGGGCCACTTTGAGTCCCGGGGGAGCCCCATTCCCGTCCCTGCCTGGGCAGGGGCCCAGAGCAGGACAGGAGAACCCGTGGCCTGGACCCCGGCCGTGGGGACTGGCTATCGCAGGCTCCCTCCGGCGCCCCGTGGGGAAGGGCCGAGGGCGGCCGAGCGTGGGGAGCTGACGCGTGCACGTCCCCTCCCAGAAAAGCTGCAAGGCGTCCAGAAACGCGCTGGAGGCCCTGCCGGACAAGGTGGCCGTGTTCTGGAAGAGCCACCTCAAGGACGTGGACTTCTCGGAGAACGCCCTCAAGGCCGTGCCCCTGGGGCTCTTCCAGCTGGACGTGAGTGCGCCCCGGCCTCCTGCACGCTGCTCCTGGCCCTGAGCAAGGGGGGTGGGCGGGGCTGAGCCGCAGCGACCGGGGCCCCCACAGGCCCAGCGGGCCGCCCCTGCACACACCTGGTGGCCAGTGCCGCCTCGTCCTGTCCCAGGCCTCCGGCAGCCCAAGGAGCTGGTGGGAGGCAGCGGGCCCCCAGCGCGGGGCCGTTCCCTGGGGCTCCAGCCCCACGGCTGACCTCAGGCCCCAGAGGGTGGAGCGCCAGTCCACACGGCCCACCAGTGCTGCTTGTGTAATTGCGAGTGTTAAGCCCCACAGCCGGGGCCTCGCCCGGGAGTGGGTGGTCGCTTGGCCACTCAGCTGGCCCAGTGCCACCTCGGCCTCTTTCTCCCCGCTCACCCACCTAGGCCCTCATGTTCCTGAGGCTCCAGGGGAACCAGCTCGAGACACTTCCACCCCAGGACAAGTGGACCTGCAGACAACTCAAAACCCTGGATCTTTCCAGAAACCAGCTTGGCAAGTAAGCAGGGTCCCGGGATGCCTGGCAAGCCCAAAGCGTGTGGGCGGCTTCTGGGATGTGGCCCCGAGGGATCAGGGTCGGCCTGGGCCTTGGGGACACAGGCCCGGGGCTCCACCGACACAGCAGGTACCTGCCCCTCATAAGGACACTGTCCCTCCTGCAGAGCGAGGGCCGCCCACCTGGTCCCCACTTCGGACGAGCCACAGCTCAGCGCCCCTTACCCACTTGGGCCTAGAAAGGCTTCGGCTTCCGGACTTTTTCGGATTGTGGGATATTTGCATAAATATACCAGGTGTCTTGTTTCCTTTTTTAAAAGATTGGTTTATTTATTTGAAAGTCAGAGTTATAAACAGAGAGAGAGAGAGAGAGAGAGAGAGAGAGGTCTTCTATCCATTGGTTCACTCCCCAGTCTCCCAGGCCTCTAGCAGGAAGCTGGATCAGAAATGGAGCAGGCAGGATTCGAACCGGAGCCCATAAGGGACGCTGGGGTCCCAGGCGGCAGCTTTACCTGTTTTGCCACCATGCTGGCTCCTTTTCTTGTTCAGTATAACCTGAAGGTAATTTTATACAACATATTTTGTTTTTAAAAAAGATTTATTTATTTGAAAGACAAAGTTAGAGAGGAGGGGGAGAGAGAGAGAGATTTTCCATCCGCTGCTTCTCTCCCCAGACGGCCAAAGCCAGGAGCCAGGAGCTTCATCTGGGTCTCCCCACGTGGATGCCGGGGCCCAAATACTTGGGCCGTCTCCACTGCTTCCCAGGAGCATTAGCAGGGAACTGGATCGGGCCTTGAACCGGTGCCCACGTGGGATGCCAGGGTCCCAGGGGGAGGCTTACCCCACAATGCCACAGCGCCAGCCCCGTGTGATATTTTTAGTGTGACTGGGGTTTGTGACCGTCCCTTGGGGTCAAGTGTGGCATCATCCACTTTGGCATCGTGTCCACATGTAGAACATGTAGGAAGCAAAAACGCCTTGGACTTGGGACTTTCGCATTCGGAGGCTCAAGCTGTCCCGAGCTGAGTTCAAGGGTTCGGGACTTCAGCGGGCGGGCGTGGGACACGGTGCAGCCCGAGTCTGATTGTCCCTGGCTCTCTTCAGCCTAAACTGTAACCGTCACAAAGTCTCTGCCACTCGCTCGCTGCGCTGACACAGATACTGCAGAAAGTCCGTGGGAAAGGGAATGGAAAGAGAGACACACTTTGGTGCACAAAGTTTTGCAGCCCGAACTTTCCTGAGCCCCCGCCCGCGTGCATCTGCTGAGGGCCGGTTCTGCAGCACTCAGGGGGACTGACCCCCCGAGGGGGCTCTCCTGGGCTCTGGTGTGCTCGGCTGGGCGAGGAAACGCCCGGGCAGGCACACCCACCACCCACCCAGCCAGGGTCAGGCAGCCTGGGGCGGTTTCCCGGGACCCCCACGTGGGCCCTCCTTCCACATAAGCTGCAGGGTCCCAAACACTGCAGGTAGCGTTTCCTCCCGGTTCAGCGTCCTCTGGCCACCGCCGGAGCTGCAGTGTTCTTGTCATGCTTGTTTCACACTGGGACTTTTTACCCCTTACAGAAACGAAGATGGGCTTAAGACGAAGCGCATTTCCTTTTTCACCACCAGGGGGCGCCAGCGCTCAGGGCCCGAGGCAGGTGCGTGGAAGTGGTGGGTGTGGGAAGCCGGAGGGAGGGTGGGAAGAGGGGCAGGCGGTGTATTTGGGGCTTTCCCTTCAGTCCCTGTTGGACCGGCACAGATATCCACGTGGGGCGGAGAAGCCAACAGTTACCGGCTGTTGCTCGGGTCCCCTGTGGACACTGGGTGCCCAGGAGCCCTGGATTCCTGAGGGGAGCCGGGTGTGCACCACCCTGATTCTCTGCACCTGGCACGCGAGGACCAGGTGCCCAGGGCGTCTTGGTCTGCTCTGGCGGCCAGAAGGTCGGGCTGAGAGCAGCAGCGTGGTCAGCTCCAGGGAGAGTACCCCCCCCAACCTGCCCCGCCACCACCGTCTCCCCTCCTCTTGGAAAGAGGCCACGCCCTCACGACCTCAGCTAAACCTAGCGACCCCCCAGAGAGCCCACTCCGGGCATCAGCCTGTGGAGTTAGGGCTTCCGCCGAGCGTCTGGGTGACAGGGACACAGTCCAGAGCACAGCACTGGGGTTCACTGTCTTGTGGCTGCCTGGGGTAGATCCTGGGTTCTGCCCAGGCCAGGCCTAGGGGCTCCAGCCCAGGGGGCAGGAGGCCGTCACTGTTCAGAGCTTCTGACACACACACTGCAGTGTCTCTTAGAGTCCCCAGGGCCCCGCAGGCAGAGGGGAGGCTCGGAGCTTCCTCTGGAGCTGTCCTGGTCCAACCACACGGCCAGCATGGCAGGGCTGCTCCTAGGGAGAGAGGCTCCCCCTCTGCATTGTCTTCGTGGGGTGCAGGGAAGGTGCACCTGCCCTCCCACTGAGCAGTCACCCCTCCTTGGTACCCTCGAAGCCAAGACATCTGGAGCCAGCCACCCCCATAGAAGCTGCTCCAGAAAACAGGAACCAATATTTACACCAGTTGAATGTAATTAATTGGCTTTTTTTAGCTTAATAGATCGATGTTGGCAGGCTCAGATGTGTGAGGTAGGCACGAGCTGGGAGTAGATGCCAGCACATGTTGGCAGGAGGTGAGCTAAAGTCGGTGCACCTGCTGCACTTCCTAATGAGCGAGTGTGTGTGTGTGTGTTTACATGTATGATAGGCATGTAGATCAGTCACAGAGAGCTACGTGTGTTTATTTATGATCAAAAAGGTAGCACATTATAGTAGGACACATAAGAGAATCCAAAAATAGACCTAAGTGAACGTTAGAATTTAATTAATTAACAACAAAGGTGGCGTTCCAATTTAGGGGGAAGAATGCGATGTTAAATAGTGTCGGGAATCTCATTTTGCTTCAGTTACACAAATGCCCATGCGACAGCAGGTTTAGGTGTAAAAGACAAATGGAAAATAACACATAAGAGACTGTGTGTAACATTGAGAGGTGGGAGGGAACTTTAAGAGCGAGCTGAGCAATCCAGCGATCGTCAAGGAAAAAGATGGAAATCTTTGGCTTTGTGGACACTGAAAAGTTTTGCTGAGTCAAAGGCACCATAAACCAGTCGTAACGCAAGCAGACCATGACAGGGTTGCAACACACTTTGGCTTGCATCCCTCGGATACAAAGAATGCTTGCAAACTCATTCGGAAAAGACAGCCCAGTAGGCAAAAAATGACTTACAGATAGGGATAGTTTGTAAGAAGTCCAGACAGCCAGGAAGAGATGCAACGTCTTTATCCCTGCTAATAGGGAAATGCACTTACGGGTTGCACAGCCGATCCCTTTTTAAACAAAGGGCCTTGGGAGAAATGGAGTCCAAACCTACGGATTGCATTTGGAAGGAAGGAGAGACCCACGAAGGGTGTGTGGGAGGAGCCGGGGGATCCTGGTTATGCTGGTAGGCTGAGCCTTCCTGGAGCTAGTGTGAGTCAACTAGGAATGCATCCAAGCACGTGTGTGTGGGTGGCATGTGTTCATGTATGCACAAAACACACAAGGGTACTTTTGAGACTCATGTGTTTGAAGGGGTCTCCAAAAAATCCATGGAAATGCGTGTTATGAGGCAACTATGCATAGATCTCAAAATTCTTATACCAAAATAAGCTTAACTTTCCATCCCATTTTCTCACAAACTTTTTGAAGCATTCTTTTATAAAAGCGTGTGTGCAGGGTGTGTGCCTGCTGCAGACGTCTGGCACACATAGAAGCTTCCAGATACTTGTCTCTGCGCCTTGCACAGCCCCTGCTGGGACCATGGAGAGGGGCAGGAGGAGGCGGCCCAGCACCCAGGGGACGCAGCCACTCGGGAGGCCCCAGACAGGAAGGGCGAGGTGCACAGTGGAAAGCACAACGGGGCAGGCATTTGGTGCAGGGGTTAAGGTGCCGCTCGGACACCTGCTCGTGTCGAGGGCCTGGGTTCGAGTCCCGGTTCCTCTTCCAATTCCAGCTTCCTGCTGATATGCCCGCTGGAGGCAGCAGGGGGTGGCTCAGGTACTTGGGTCCCAGCCACCCCCTTGGGAGACCCAGGTGGGGTCCTTCCTCCTGGCTTCAGCCTGACACGCGCTCTACTGTTGCAGGCACTCGGGGAGCAGATGAGTGGATACAAGATCTCACTTTGTCTGTCTGTCTCTCTCTCTGCCTTTCAAGTAAAATGAAAAATAAATATTTTTTTAAATAAAGAAGAAAAGCATAATAGGAACAAGTGCTGGTGTTCTAGAAAATGGGTTTTGTGGGGCCCCGCGGGAGCGAGCCTGGGGAGCAGGTGCGGAGGCCACAGCCGGGGTGGAGCCTTGGCAGGTGACAAAGGCCTCCTTTGCAGTTTCACCTGGAAAGTCAATGCCCACGCTGAGAGAAGGGGGCGGGGCCGGTGAGCCCTGTCTCGGGGCGGGGCCGGTGAGCCCTGTCTCGGGGCAGGGTGGTTCCTTCAGGGCTGTTGACCGCAGGGGAGAGGGGAGGAATTATCCCGAAAGAGAGCTTGTTTGCAGATGAATAAGTTGAATCCCAGGCAGATGGACATACATCCAACCAGTCATCTTAGCAGGGGCCGCATCCAAAAATAATCGAGGGTTACGGGAACACTGAGACCAGCGGAGTCATAAATAACTTAGGGATAAATAATCGCAGCCTATAAATCCTGAGCACCGTCCCTCCCGGCTCAGCCTGCCTGGTTTTTGACCCCGGGGCCAGGAAGTCTGCCGGGTGTTGCCCCTGTGTGAGGCTCGCTGCTCACTCCTCGCGCCCGGTACTGGACACCAAGGCGGGGCCTTGGGCGTGGACGGCAAGAGCCCGGGGGTCCAGGACGCCTTGTCTGAGAAGGAAGTGGTCTTCACCTTGGAAATGGGACGGGGCGGGCAAGCGCCCATCCTCCCTGTGGGCTGAAAAGAAAGGAGGCGTGGTGAAGGTTCCCACAAGCAGGGTCTACTCCCGAGTTACCTGCACACACGCCCTGTGCACACGCAGGCCCCATCTTGGGGTTCCTGCTCCCGGCGGCCAGGTCGCCCCACAGCCCCACAAGGGGAGCACAGCCAGAGCTCACGGGGTGGGCGTGAGCGAGGGCAGCCGAGCGTGGTTCAACCCGACACGAGAGTCTGGCTCCTCTGCCGTCCGTGTCTGGGGTGGCAGGTGCGGGCAGAGCTTGGGGCACCCGTCTCCTCTTTGGCTCTCCCAGCCTCCCGGCTCCAGGGCAGCTGCCGGGAGCGGATGCCCGCCTTTCAGAGGTGTGGCCCCCACCCATGTGCCTGCCGCCTCTCTGCGGTCAGACGCTCTGGTGCCTGTGCACAGGGCAGGGTTGGTGTGGTTTTCATGGTAATCTTGAGACTAGCCCAGTTGACCAAGGCACCGGCACCCCGAGGAGCCGGCTGGCATCTTAGAGAACGCCGGCCCAGGAGGCGTGGCAGGGTCGCTGGTGAACTCGCCGTTGGAATGGAAGAAGCAGTACAGGTGCATTTCCCGGCATTCTGAACCACACTCCAATGGCCGCAATGGCCGGTGCACTGCACCAATCTGAAGCCAGGAGCCAGGTGCTTCTCCTGGTCTCCCATGGGGTGCAGGGCCCAAGCACCTGGGCCATCCTCCACTCCCGGGCCACAGCAGAGAGCTGGACTGGAAGAGGGGCAACCGGGACAGAATCCAGCGCCCTGACCGGGACTAGAACCCGGTGTGCCGGCGCCACAGGCGGAGGATTAGCCTAGTGAGCCGCGGCGCTGGGGCACATAGTTTTCTTGTAGTACCCATTTTCCACTCAGTTCTTGAAGACCCCTCACAGAACAGACACATGCATGTGCATGTGTGGTATGTATGCATGCATGTGTGTAACATGTATTCCCACGTGTGCATGGAGTGTGTGTCTGTGCACATGTGCATGTCTGTTGTGTTTTCTGGTACAATAATAAGCCTGGGGCCAGCGCTGTGGCATAATGGGAAGGCTACCCCCTGCAATGCCGGCATCCCATATGGGCACTGGTTCGAGTCCCAGGTGCTCCACTTCCAACCCAGCTCTCTGCTATGGCCTGGGAAAGCAGTGGAGGAGGCCTGAGTCCTTGGGGCCCTGCATGTGAGAGACCCGAAAGAAGCTCCTGACACTTGGCTACAGATCAGCCCAGGTCCAGCCATTGTGGCCATTTGGGGAGTGAACCGACAGATGGAAGAATCTCTCTCTCTCTCTTTCTCTCTCTGCCTCTCTAACTCTGCCTTTCAAATAAATACATCTTTAAAAAAAAATAAGCCTTCCAGGTATCTGGTCCTGCACCTCGCTTTTCCAGTAGCTCTTCGGTCCAGCTGTGCACCTGTCGCGTGGCCTGCCCCCTGCTCTGTAGCAGCCGTGTGTTATCCCACCCCCGAGGCTGGGGTGTCAGCTGTCTTCTGTTTTGCTGCCAGGAGCCGGGAGCCCTGTCACAGGTGTGCAGGGACAGTTGGAGAATTCAGATAGCTGGGCGATCGCCGATGGCTATGCCAGGGTGCGCTCTGGAGATGGCACCCGTGTGCCCAGCCGCCCAGCCACCTGGCCTGCACCTGTGCTGGCCCAGGCCGGCGCGGTGGCCCACGGTCCGCTCTGCCCTCTCTCTGCAGCCTGTGTGCTGGAGTTCCCTGCCTTCCTGAGCGACTCTCTGGAAGTCCTTTGTCTGAATGACAACCACCTGGACGCGGTCCCGCCATCCGTTTGCCTGCTCAAGAGCTTATCTGAGCTCTACCTGGGCAAGTAAGTGCCGGGGGGGGGGGGGGGCAGCTGGGGTCAGGCTGGCCAGGCCGGAAGGAGCCATCTGCTTACCCAGAAGCGGCTGTGGGGTTTTCAGACCTGCAGCTGGGCCAGGAGGTGGGGGAGTGACAGCCGGGGGCAGGACGGGTGCTGCACGCTTTGGCGGCATGGCTCGGGTGACAGCCACCCTGTCGTCCCTGCCCGAGCCTGCCAGGCCTGAGGACAACACAAAATGCCACCAGTGTCAAGTGGCAGGCCTCCTGCAGAGGAGGCAGGGACCGTCTCTGTAGAAGGAGGGGACCCAGCCCTAAGCGGTGGGCACCTACGTGTAGAAGCCAGAGCTGGACCTGGGGTTCCAGTGGGACACTCGAGACTGTCGGGGTGCCTGCAGGATGCCTGTGCGTGTGTGTGTTCGCTCACGGGTGCGTGTGTCCTTAGCAACCCCGGCCTCCGAGAGCTCCCGCCCGAGCTGGGGCAGCTGGGCAACCTCTGGCAGCTGGACATTGAGGACCTGCACATCAGCAATGTGCCTGCCGAGATCAGAAAGGAAGGTAGGACGGCCACGGCGGCGCCTCTTGGAAAGATGACTCAAGTGCACCTGTTGGGTTCCAGGGCAGAAAGGGCCCCTCGGGGTCTGGGAAGACGCTGTCAGGGGGTCCCTCGGCTGCCAGCTGCGAGGGCCCTATGTTGACTGGGCACCTGTAACAGGACTGTCAAGTCTGACCTCACGGCAGCTGTCCTTAGGTTCTGGACTGTCACGCGCCACCCTGGCGGGGGGCGGGGGGGGGCTCATATCCTGCCCTGGGCTCCCTTCGCTGTCCCTGTCAGATCAGCAGCGCCTATCCCTTCTGGACAGGGTTGGTTTCCTAAGAGAGGAGGGCGTGTCCCCACGCATGGGTGGCCGGGGCACCCACCCTCACCCTTTCCGATTGGCACAGGCCCCAAAGCCACGCTGTCCTACCTGCGCGCTCAGCTGCGCAAGGCGGAGCGCTGCAAGCTGATGAAGATGATCGTCGTGGGTCCCCCGCGCCAGGGCAAGTCCACCCTCCTGGAGATCTTGCAGACGGGGAGGGCCCCCCAGGTGGTGCCCGGCGAGGCCACCATCAGGACCACCAAGTGGGAGCTCCAGAGGCCGGCTGGCTCCAGAGCCAAGGTCAAGGATGGTTGGCGCGCAGAGTGCCCACGGGTGGTGGGGAGGGGTGGGGTGGGGAGGGTCTTCCTTGGGCTTTTCTCCCTCCACCCCTGACAGCCCAGGGTTTTCTCGGGCAGGCGAGCGGGCAGGCGTCCCGTCCCGGGGCCTGGGGTGTTTGCAGGGACCACCGTGTGTCGTTGCAAACCAGCTCCTGCCAAGGGCAGCGAATCGTTGTCTCACACGACCGTGCTGTTTTCCTGTTAGCATTAAGTGGAGGCTTGGGGCCAGTGGGGATTAACCCTGCCTGTGCTTGCCATCAACTCAAGGAGCTTTCAAACACACGACTCCCTGGCCGGCCGCAAAGACCCCGAATTGAGATGTCTGGGAGAGGCCGCGCCTCCAGGGCTGATCCGGCCTCTGACCCTCAATGAGGAGCCTAAAGGGCACCCTAGGAGCAGTGTTCCTTCCCCCGCTCTGGGTGCCTACTTTCACCCCATGTTCTGAAAAGTCCCATTTGTAAGCCTCACAACGATTTTTCTAATAGTCCATGGAAAAACGGCATGAAAAGATAAGTTTATTTTGCCTCAAAGAAATGTTGAAATCCCTGCACGGGTTTTCTTATAATACACATTTTCCACACATGTTTTGAAGAGCCCTTGTATCTCCAATGAACCCCTCCCCAAACCTGTGAGTCGCCCCCTTTCGCGTTCAGTACCAGGCGAAAGGAAGGGAACATGGTCTTGCTCTCGAGAGAGCTAAGAGGCCGTGGCACGCTGGTGAGATCGGCACACCTGTGCTACGGCACGGGGCAGTGTGCACCTCCCCCGAGCTGGGGACACGCAGACAGCACCACCCTCCTCTGCTGTGCTGGTGTCTGCCGTGGGAATTCCGGGTCGCAGGGGCCTGGAGGTGCAGATGTGCCGTGAGCTCCTCTGGGCCCCTGCGCCCACCATCAGCGTGCAGGTGCAGCTGGAACCACGAGCTGCCCCACACGGCCTGTCTGTGCTAACCCGGATGCCAGAGCCGGTCCTCCAGAGTCCGAGTCCGTCTGTCGGGACAGCCACCGGCCCCAGGCCTGCCCCAGCACACCCCAGGAGAGAATGCAACTGGCTCACGGCCCAGGCTTTTGTCACACCACCCGGCTCTTCCGCCTCCCCGCCAGCTTTGCCTGGTTGGCATCAGTGATTCAGCCTGGAGTTGTCCCAGCAGGTCTCCCACGGACGGCGGCCCCAGGCCCGAGCCGAGAATCCGTATCTCTGCTCCTCCTGTCCGCTTCCGTCCTGCGTGCAGAGCCCGCAGCTCCCTGGGTGGTTGGCCCCTCGCCAGCTGACAGCAGCTGTCCCTCTTCCTCTTTATACAAATCCAGGCCCGCGCTCTGCGCCTCCCAGGCCAAAACGCTGCCTTGCGGAAATGACTCCTGGCTCCAGATCCGGGTGGGCTCTGCTCCCCCGGCCACAGCGCGACCTCACGCGCCGACAGATAAACCGTCGTTCCTGGCAGCTCACAACTCAGCCTGTGTTTGACTGCACGTCGGTGGGGGCCGGGGGAGGGGGGCAGCAGACGGACTTTCCCGGCAGCCTTGGTGGGCGCCGCCCTCTGACCCGCGGGAAGCCAGAGGCCCGGCTGGGCCTGGCCCTTGCACAAGCAGAGGCCAAGTCCGGGTTTAAGCAGTGACGTCAGAGCAAGGCTGCTTGGCGGCACGTCTCTGGCCGTGGGCAGCAGACGGAGACATACAATGCCCTCCAGTGTTCTGCGGGCGCCATCCTCCCCTCCCCCACCCCGTAGCAGGATGCCGACGCCCCCAGCAGCCCACCTCCCGCCAACAGGGCACCCGTGCCTTGTGCATGGTGGCGAGTGTTCAGGGCTCCAAGCTCAGCGTGTGAAGCTCCAGGTTGCTCTTGCTTTGGGCCCAGTGAGGCCTCGGTGTGTAAAGTGTATCCCTGTCGCCTTCTTGCTCAAGTAGGTGGAGTCCATAGTGTTCAACGTCTGGGACATCGGGGGCCCGGCCAGCATGGCCACTGTCAACCAGTGCTTCTTCACGGACAAGGCCCTGTACGTGGTGGTCTGGAACCTGGCGCTGGGGGAGGAGGCCGTGGCCAACCTCCAGTTCTGGCTGCTCAACATTGAGGTGAGTGGACGCCGGGGTGATGCTGGCGACGAGGCCACGTGTCAGGCAGGTGGGCTCTCGGGGGAGACCCCAGAATCGCGGGCCCACTGCTCTGCCGTGCTAAGACATTTCCAGTCCTCCTGGTTCTCAGGCTAAGACCCAACCCCTGCATGCCTGAGGGGGCGGGGCTTCCCTCCCAGGTGTGGAGCAGGTGCTGCCGTGGGAAACCTGCCCGAATGTGCCAGGGGTCAGAGATCCCTCCCCAGGGGCCAGTCTGAGCACCGGCCACAGGGCGGTTTCCGTCCCTTGTTCGACGCGTGGGGATGGGCTCAGCAGGACGGTTCTCTGTCACAGGCCAAGGCCCCCAACGCAGTGGTGCTGGTGGTGGGCACGCACCTGGACCTGATAGAAGCCAAGTTCCGCGTGGAGAGGATCGCGACCCTGCGCGCCTATGTGCTGGCGCTCTGCCGCTCACCAGCCGGCTCCAGAGCCACCGGCTTCCCGGATATCACATTCAAGCACTTGCAGTAAGAGCCGCTGCCCGCCATGCACCCCGTACCCTCTGTCCATCTTCCTAGGAGAAGCCTGGGACCTGGGCAGGGCTCCTCGGGGTCCACTGACTCCCAGAACCAAGCCTGGGGACGCCTTCTCCGTGCCTCCCCAGCCCAGGACCCGTGCGAGCACATACGGCTCCCCTGGGGCTAGGAGATGTACTCTCGAGCACCCCCATCCCATTGGTGGGTCATTGAGCAGGGACAGAGCCTGCTGTGGGGAGGGGATGGGGAGGAAGGGTCAGCTGGCTGAGGGTGGGGATGACCGGCACCCTGGGCTTCTTACTGCTCCGCCTCTGGCTGTTGGCTCCCCGTCTGCCCTGCAGGCTGGGGGCTGTCGTGCCCACTTTGCAGATGACCGACCTGAGGCTCAGTGGGTTAGGAAAGTGTTCCCTGGTGGGAATAAGATGTTGTTTCCCCTGCTGCACTGGGGTTCCCTCACCCTGGGTGGAGTGCGAGGGTCCGCCTGGGGGTGTCACAGCCTGACTCAGAAGGCTTCCAGGGGTGCTGCTGTGGCTGGATAATGGGGCTGCTGGCTCCGGGTCAGAGCCCCGGGTCCAGTCTGAGTCTGCTCCTCCCTCTGTGCCTCACTTTTCACCTCTGTAAAATGGGCACACGGGAAAGCAACACATGGGGCTGCCCTGCCAAACTCTCGAGTCGTGTTAGTGAGTTGTGTAGACTCCTGGGAAGACGGGAGGGTGGGGTAGCGGCAATGCAGCTCAGCCCTTTGTGCCCGCACAGCGAGATCTCCTGTAAGAGCCTGGAAGGCCACGAGGGGCTGCGGCAGCTGATCTTCCACGTCACGTGCAGCATGAAAGACGCGGGGAGCTCCATCGGCTGCCAGCGCCTGGCGGGGAGGCTGGTGGGTACCGCGCTCGTCCCTGCTGCGGGCCGGCCGCTCCAGGTGGGGAAGGGCTGGGGTCGGAGGGCCAGAAAGGGAGCGTCCCCGCCCGCTCAGGCCGCCCCTGCCCCAGATCCCCAGGAGCTACCTGAGCCTGCAGGAGGCGGTGCTGGCCGAGCAGCAGTGGCGGAGCCTGGGCGATGACGTGCAGTACCTGACCGACAGGCAGCTGGAGCAGCTGGTGGAGCAGACGCCCGACAATGACATCAAAGACTATGAGGACCTGCAGTCCGGTGGGCGCGGTCACGGGGGCAGAGGGCGGGCCCCCCCCACCCGGGGAGCCGGGGCCGGGGCACTCCTGGGGAACAGGACCTGCTGCTACATCGCCGACTCTGGCCTGATCCCCGGCACCGCAGGGCAGCGTAACTGTACCGACATGAATGGAAACAGGGTGGGGGGCTTTCTGCCCCCTCCTCCTTCCACGTTGAGTCCCTAGGACGCGCAGTGTTGGCTGCCAAGGGCCTCCTGGTGAGCCAGGTACACTGGTCCTGCCCTCCGGGGCGGAGACAGAGGTCAGACAGCCCCAGTGGAGCCTCTTGATTGGCTGTTGTTCTAGTTCATTTGCACACTTGGGACCCTGACCTAATGAGCATGGAGTCCTAGCACCTGGGGATGCTGGGGAGTCGGCTCCTTGGTGACGGCATTCTCATGGGCCAGTTGGTACAATGTTTGTGTGCTCCTGCACAGAGCCCAGAGGTGTCTTAAGTGACCCAGCGCCTTCATGGCCAATGGCACTGTCATCCGTGCCTGAGTGTACCCGACACGCTTGGTTGCTCCGCAGGGCACGCGGCAGCAGTCGCCTGCCTGGGAACACTGCAGAACACTTTAGCCCTGTGTCTCGGCCCATTTCACGCGGGGAAGTCACGGCGACAGACAGAATCTGACACCGTGGTGCTCAGTGTGCATGATGGCTGGACACAGTCGCCTCACTTGGCCCAGCTGGGAACCTTCTCCTAGGGCGAGCACTCTGCGTGCATCGGCGAATGCCTGCCAAAGCCCTCGAGAGTTGGCTTGGAATCCCTGGTGCATTCCAGCTAGCAGGTGACTTTGCAGACAGAGTCTGTGGACAGTGAGATGGCCTGTCCTCACCCAGCTGGCCGTCAGCTCAGGACACTGACAAGAGTCACAAGGGCCACCAGGGAACTGGTGCTGTGGCTGCTGACCTGGGCAACAGGGGCCAGCGTGTCAGACCGGAGGATCCCTCCCAGGGAGAGTCCGTGCCCTGGCCCCCACCCCCCACCCCGGGATAGGGTCACCCAGGTCCCCTTTGGCTCTCTGGGTAACGCGGCTTCCCTCCACCTCCCCCGGCAGCCATCAACTTCCTCATAGAGACGGGCACCCTGCTGCACTTTCCAGACACCAGCCACGGCCTGCGCAACCTCTACTTCCTGGACCCCATCTGGCTGTCCGAGTGCCTGCAGCGGATCTTCAACATCAAGGCCTCCCGCTCGGTGGCCAAGAACGGGGTGATCCGAGCCGAGGACCTCAGGATGCTGCTCGTGGGCACGGGCTTCACCCAGCAGACGGAGGAGCAGTACTTCCAGTTCCTGGCCAAGTTTGAGATCGCCCTGCCCGTCGCCAACGACAGGTGAGGCAGGGGCCGGGCTGAGCGAGCTGCCCCCCACAGAGGAAGGAGGTTGGGCTCCGGGGCCGTCGGTGGCCTGAGCGGGGTTTCCAGGGGTCTGTCCCATCACACTGGCCACCAGGGACAGGCCAGCCCTTGGCGACGACCAGCCCACAGGGCTGGGGAGCAGGATAGTGGTCACGACCTCCCGGCCATTGGCTTCTCTTCTTCGGGGGTTGAAACGGTGTCGGAAATCATGCAGGGATGGCACTAAAGCAATGTGGGGGCTCGCTGGCTCGCGTGTGCGGTGATGATGGAAGCGGCGGTGATGCGTGTGCAGTCACGCAACCTGGCCCCAGCTGTGGTCCACCGTGACCACGTCCTTGGAGACCTCTCGCCTGCTCCCAGGGCGGATGCTGCCAGGAGCCGTGTGGGCCCCTCCCGGGCCACCTTTCTGCCCATTCCCCCAGACCTCAGTCCCAGGTAATCCCCTTCCTCCTCCTCCTGCCCTCCCTTCCCAGCCCTGCCACCCCCAGCTGCTGCCCTGCGCAGACTCCTCCTGACCCTGCTGGCCACCGCTGGCTGCCCTTCCCTGTCCCCTGCCGGAATCCTAGGGCCTCTGGACCCTTGTCCCAGCGACCCTTCAGCCGGCCCTGCCCCGTACACTGGGCCCAGCCACTGAGTCGGCTGCCAGGATGCCCCAGCACCTTGCAGGGAGTGTTCAGATCTCCAGCAGGGGCCACCCTGCAAGCCACAGGCCAGAGCTTCCAAATGACTCCCACCCAGGGGGCCTGCTGGGCCTGCACCACGTGCCTGAGAGCCCCGCCTTCCACCCTGTCCCCTGCCTGCTGCTCCCCTCCCCTGCTTGGGGAGTGGCGCTTCCAGACTCAGAGCCCCTCCCCTCCCCCACCGCGTGGCCCCACTGCCCCGCCAGGAAACCACTCCATTGGCGGGTCCTTCCCTGGACGTGCCGCTCCCGGCTGCTGCTCTTGTTTAATGGGGGAAAGTTTGTTTGCAGTGAAATGCACAGATCTCTATGCAGCTTGACGAACGTCTCCGACTGTAACCAGCACCTGCATCAAGGGGCACCACGGGATATCCACACACCCTCTCCGGTCACTTTCCGGCCCCACAGGCCGCCCCGGGGCCTCTGCCTTCTTGTCCTCCAGCTTCATGAGGGCATGCATCACGCAGCTCGGCCTGTGGCGGCTTCCGCCCCTCGGCACGGTGCACTTGAGACGCACCAGGCCCTGTGTGTCTCGGGAGGTCGCTGTCTCTTGCTGAATCACCGTCCATAGTGTGGCTTTGCCTCCACTGGCGTGTGGACCTGTGGCTTGTTTCTAGCTTCGGGCTATTATGGTCATAGCTGCTACACGGTCTTTTTCCTTAAAGATTTATTTGTTTATTTAAAAGGCACAGTGAGAGAGAAGGGGAGATAGAGATTTTCCATCGCTGGTTGGTTCATGCCCCAAATGCCCACTGCAGCCAGCTCTGCAGGTCTGGGCAAGGAGCCAGGATCTCTCTCTCTCCAGGTTTCCCACAGGGGTATCAGGAGCCCATGTACTTGGGCCATCACCTGCTGCCTTCCCAGGCGCATTGGCAGGAAGCTGGATTGGAAGCAGAGCAGCCGAGACCCAAACCGGCACTGTGATATGGGAGCCAGTGTCACAGGTGGCGGCTTCACCCCCCGCACACAAGGCTGGCCCCGAAAGTCGGAAGTCTTCGTAGACGTGGGTTTTCATTTCTCTTAGGTGATTACGAGGAGTGAATTGTTGGGCCAAAAAGTTTCTTCAAGAAATGATGGCCTCTTGTCACTGTTTCCTTCCCAACACTGGTGGTTACCAGTCTTTCCAACTTTAGCTCTTTCCAGGGATGTGAGATTGTATTCCAGTGTTCTCACTGTGCGTCTTCTTCCTAACCAGGAAGGCTGAACACAGGCCATGAGCTCTTGGCCTTTGCTGCATTCTTTTGTCAAGCATCTGTTCAAATTCCATGCCTATTTTATGTTGTCCTTTAAATTTATTTACAGTTATTTATATCTTCTGGACCCAAGTTTTTTATCAGATACATGGTTTGCAAATTTCTCCCAGTCTTTGAGTTGTCTTTTATATTAATGATATAACATATCTTATATAACTAATTAATGATATAACATATCATATAATTATATTAATGATATAACTTATTTTTATGATTATTGCTTTTAAAATAAATTGATTGAGGATTTGAAAGGCAAAGCAACAGAGAGAGGGTGGGAGATCATCCACCCACTTCTGTCTCACTACTCAGATGGCTGCAGAAGGCGGAAGCCAGGAGCCAGGAACTCCATCCAGGCCTCCCCATGGGTGGCAGGAACCCAGGCATGGGTGCCTTCGTCTGCTGCCTGCCCAGGTGCACGAGCAGGGAGCTGGATCAGAAGTGGAGCAGCCGGGACTGAAGCCAGCGCTCCCATATGGGTTGCAGATGTCGCAAGCAGTGACTTGACCCACTGTGCCACAGTGCTGGCCCTGTTAATTTTATCTTCTCTTCTGAATATTTGCTTAAGTCAAGGTATCGAAGAGCTGGTGTGTTTCTTCTAGAAGCTTTGCAGTTCAGCTTTTCATTCCGGGCCCGTGGTCCTCGCCAAGTTGGTTCTTTATGTCGCGGGAAGTAGTTTATCCAGTTGTTCCAGAACATTCATGGAGCGGTTCTCCCCTCCCCCACCAAGCTCCCCCGGTTCCTTCGGCAGAAGCCGCCGTGCCAGTCTGTTTCTGGAGTCTCTTTTGCTCCCCGCAGCCGAGTGTCCATCCTGGCCAGCACCCGTCCATACTGACTGTTACATACTTGGAATCAGGCAGTGCACTCTCTGGCCACCAGAACGAATGACCCTGAACTTGGTGTCCTACACATTCGTGAGGTCAAAAGCCCAAAATAATGTGCAGGTCCCAAAACAAGACGTCAGCAGGGCCACCCGCCCCCCGGAGGCGCCGGCACCGGGGGAGAATCCGTATCCTGTCCCTTCCAGCTCCCAGCGCCGCAGACCTCGGCCCCCGGCCCTCTCTTCCGTCTTCAAAGCCAGCGCCAGCATCCTTCTCCAGGGATCGCACTTCCTGCTTGGACCTTGTCCAGTCTGCACCGTCCCCCCCTTACAAGGACGCCTGTGGTCACAGTTAGGCCCGCCCAGATAGCCCAGGGTGCTCGTCATCGCCTCAGGGTCCTCGGCGTGGTCTCGTCTGCCACATGTGGGAACAGTCACAGTTTCGGGGTGAAGACCTGACTGTCTTTAGGGCCGTCATCCCGCTGACACCTCCACCCCAGTCCAAGATCACTTCTGAGTTCCAGACCCTCTGTGTATCCTTCTAAGTCTTAGCATCCACTTGCCTGTTTCTACCACAAAAGAACGCAGTGGGGGTTTTATTACGATTACAACGTACCAGGGCCAGTGGTGTGGAGTAGAGGGTAAAGTGCTGCCTGCAGTGCCCGCATCCCATATGGACACCGGTTCTAGTCCCAGCTGCTCCACTTCCGATCCAGCTCTCTGCTGTGACCTGGGAAAGCAGTAGAGGATGGTCCAAGTGCTTGGGCCCCTGCACCCACACGGGAGACCCTGAAGAAGCTCTTGGCTCCTGGCTTTGGCCTGGCCCAGCCCCAGCCATTGCAGCCATCTGAGGATGAACCAGCAGATGGATGACCTCTCTCTCTCTCTCTTTCTTTCTCTCTGTAACTCTGCCTTTCAAATAAATACATAAATCGTTTTAATAAAAAGAGATTACGTTGGAGCTACCCATCACTGAGACCAGGGAGAGCTGACATGTAACAGTGCTGGGTCTCGCCTGTGTCTCCCTGTCTCTTTAGGTCTCTTAAACACATCGCTTAACAATGTCTTCTTGTTCTCGGGTTTGGGGCATGTCTTGTTCTGATTATTCCAACATAATTCATGTTCTTTACCGTGTTAAGTGACGTATCTTCTCATTTGATTGCCATTGTTTGTTTCTGGAATACAAGAATAAAATTCTTTTTCAATATTTACATTATTTCCAGAAACCTTGCTAAATTCACTGTTGGCTCTGGTGGCTTTGTGTAGATTACTCGGGATTTTCTACATAAATAACCCCCCTCCCCAAAAAAAGATAGTTTTACTTTTTCCTTTCTGACCTTCGTGCGTCTTATGTCCTCTTCCTGCCGAATGCTATTGCCTGGGCCTCAGGGGAGGCTTAACTGGAAGGGAGGAGGAGCCATCCTGACCACGCCTGTGACCTCGGGCCCAGCAGCAGCCGGCAGCCTGCGGTGTGAGTCGCTGCCGGAGGGTTTTATGATGTACCAAGTCAGACTGAGGACGCCCCCTCCCCTCCTCCCGTGTCGCGAGGTTAATCACGAGTACGGGGAGCGCAGCCCCAGAGAACTGCTTGTTCTGCCTCCACAACGATGGTTCCTCCCGCTGTGCTTCTGCGGCGAAGTGAGCTTGTGGATCGTTTTTTCCCAACCTCGTGTTCCGGAAACCGGTACCAGTTCATCGTGAGTCACTGTTCTCAGGTGTTACCGGGTTCCGGGAGCTAATGCTCTATGTGAGAATTTTTATATCTGAGTTCATGAAGTGTATTGGTCAGTACTTTCTTCAGAGATGTTTATGGGTTACCAAGCAAACACTGACTTCAAAAAAGAGCTGAAAAGTCCTCCTCCGTATCTACTTCCAGTGTGTGTACAATCCATGTTATACCTTCCTTCACTTTTTGATGCGGTTCAGCAATTAAATTCATAGGATGGTTCTTAATTAGAAATTCAATCTATTGAATAGGTGTAGGGGTATCCAAACTTTTGTTTAATTTTGTGTTGGTTGTGGTGAGTTGATTTTTTTAAAAGATGGATTTATTTATTTGAAAGGCAGAGTTAAAGAGAGGGAGAGGGGGAGAGAGAGAGAGAGAGAGAGAGAGCGAGCTTCATCTGCTGGTTCACGCCCCAGATGGCTGCAGTGGTGGGGGCTGGGCCAGGCTGGAGCCAGGACCCAGGAACTTCTTCCAGGGTGCAGGGGCCCATCTTCCACTGCT